CCTAGTGTTTATTGTTCCTTTAGAGGAGTGGTTCTCAACCTTCCTAATGCCGCGACCCTTTAATACAGTTCCTCATGGTGTGGTGACCTCAAACCATAAAATTATTTTTGTTGATATTTCATAACTGCTTTAGAGCCTGGTTTTACTTCCTGTCCACTAGCTTAGACTTTCTCCATGTCAGACTTTGGGAACTCATCTTTGTTCACCTTGGACAGACTCCCAGGAAGCTACAGTATATAAAGGAAAAACAATTAGACAGCACATTGTCCAGTCAAAATATAATGCATACCACATCATATATATATACACTTACATTTTCCATAAACCACATTGAAAAGAACAACTTGTAAAATTAATGAGATATTTCATTTAACTGATAATATCTAAAATAGTATTTCATCAAATGGCAGTAGCCACATTTCTAGTGCTCAAGAACTACACGCTACACAATTGGATGGTACAGATTCAGAGTCAAATGAACCTGGATTGAAATTTTGGGTCTTCCCTTTACTTAGCACTTATTGTCTGTGGTTCTCAGTTTCTTCATGTTATAGGTAACTACCTCCAGATACTGTTCTGAGAATTAGTAAACATGGAATATACAAGGGGGGGGCGTGCAAAGCCTGATGGACGGCGGCTCATTCTGTGAGGATCTCCTTCGGGAGGAAGCTTGTGGTCAAAAGGAATCATGTGGGATCGAGGGGAAACCTGCAGGAATAACTGGGAGCAGTGCCTAACCTCCTCTGATTTGACAAGGGAAAATCCACCTCTACATCAGCTCAAAGCCAATTCCTCTAAGGCAGGGATACAACAGGCCTTCAACCTTCCAATCTGCTTTACTGCTTCGGGTCTCAGCCATCCCTCCTGCGGCACTCTTTTGTCTCTGCTGAGTTTTCTAATTCATTGCAAGGCCCACACAGATTTAACAGACAAGGTTTACAATTGTGGAGTCTATTAGGAAAATCAACAGTATATAATCCAGGATCAGAAATTATTTGTATGTATGTGTGTGTACACACATACACACACACATACATATCTTCTAATGAACCATGACTCTCTGGTTCTCGATCTCCCAGACAGGAAGCCACTAGGTCTCTGTCCTGTTCAATGTTACAAAGCTCCTTCCGCATAGCTGATAAATTCCTAAAGGGCATGCCTTTTCACCGTAAGGCTCAGCCTAAAGGTGATCAGCTCCAGCTGCAGGGGTCAGCAAGCCTAACTCCCCGAAATTACTGCCTCAGGGAAGCACACTCTCCCAGCTAGTCTCTTGCCTAAAAGCCCTTCAGTTTGCTCCTCTGTCTCCTGCTCTGGCTCTTTGTTCTGCTAAGGCCATTGCTCTAGTATCACCTAGATGGAAGCGTTTCAACATGCAGGAGTCTTAGGGTCCAAAAGAGACATTCAGCTCCTGGCTCATCCCTCCCTCCCCAACCCCACTCCCAGTCCCCATGGTCCCCAGCCAGCCCACCACCCCCCTTTCTCTTACCTAGGCCTCTTAGGACAAGAGGAATCATACCTGACTTGCATAGTCTTATCCAGTCATTTGGTGGGAGTTACAAATATCCACATCAAGTCAATCTGAACTAGCCAGTAAGTAGTATTGTATCAATAACAGTTTCCTAGTATCAATCTTTTTTGTAGTTATGTGTAATTTAATACCAAGGAACATTCACTAAAGAATGCCCAGGAACTATCTATACTGTTTATACAACTTTTCTGTAAGACTTACATTATTTCAAAATGAAGAGTTGATATATTTTAAAGGTAATTATTTCAAACAGCATTACAAAAGAACCTCTGTCCCAATGAACTTGCTAATAGAAAAATCATTGCAAAGTGGCACCGCTTATGTTAAGCCTATTGCAGTAAAGCCATTAGACAGGTTAATGAAAAGTTAATGCTAAGGTGGAGAAAATCCACCCTAATCACCATTCGATTGCAACTACTCAGAGAGTGTAAGGCTATTACATCCACATCATGTGACCACACACCATGTTTTGTGTGACCAATAATGTTCTTAGATAAATCTACCTATTGATTTAATAATACTAGAATATAAGTTTAAACAATAGTTCCACTGTGATCAATTGTGTTATAAAGGAAAAGATAGGAGATGCCAAGAAGTATCCATCTCAATATGCGCCTACCCATTCATTGCCCCTCTCTGGACCCTGCATGACTTGGAAAACATCCTGGGCCAGTGAGTACAGACTGTAGCCTCAGGCTGACCTGCTACTGCCTGAGTATCTGCAACCTGAATTAGTTCACAGTACCAATTGGTAACTAGATTAGATTTCTGTATAATGCAGATGTGATATGGGTTCACACAATTTTTTAGATCATAAATGTTTGCCTCATTAATAACAGCAACTTAAG